TAAACGGCGTTTCCGTGCACTGCTCTGGTTCGCCAGAAGCGGCTTAGTCATGCTGGCCACATGACCCGGAAGCTGTACGCAGGCTCCCTCGGCCAATAAAGCGAGATGAGCACCGCAACCCCAGAGTCGGCCACGACTGGACCTAATGGTCAAGGGTCCCTTTACCTTTACCTTTATTCATACTTTGGCCGTGGTCTAGAGAGCTGTGTATGCATGTGACCACATCCCCCTGCTGATGGCTGTATCTGATGGAGCTCTACAACAGCACTCTTTGCTCTTCCACAGCTAGCAATTGAGAAGCCTTGCTTTTGCAAAGGGGGCTGCATTGCAACCATGGCGTTAAGAGAGCTTTCAGACAAATAAAAAGAAGTTGTTCCCCAGTGTTTAGAGCGAAATGGCACCATTAACTTGGTCAAAGGCTCTTTATATCAACTGGAATTAAATGTTATAGAATCTATTTCCATCTACTAATTAGTTAATTAGACTAATAGATGGCAATTCAATTAGATCAAGAGGTTACCATTGAGACAGTCACATGACTAAATGGCTTTGGACTGGCTGTGTGCCTCAAGTCCTAAGGAAATCTGACATTTTCAGGTATGACTGAAGGCTTATCCGCAATTCCTCTTGTTCCCCAGGGAAAACTGCTCTTTAGCACTCGGTTGGAGCAAATGTTCTCTGGATCTGTGTTGGCTCTGATGTAGAGCTATAGCAGGGGTCAGCAAACTTTCAGCAGGGGGCCGGTCCACTGTCCCTCAGACCTTGTGGGGGGCCGGACTATATTTTGGAAAAAAATTAATGAATGAATTCCTATGCCCCACAAATAACCCAGAGATGCATTTTAAATAAAAGGACACATTCTACTCATGTAAAAACACGCTGATTCCCGGACTGTCCATGGGCCGGATTTAGAAGGCGATTGGGCCGGATCCGGCCCCTGGGCCTTAGTTTGCCTACCCATGAGCTAAAGGGAGGGTTTTCCTTGGGAAAGGAGCAGGGCAAATGGAAAAACCAAGTGGACCCATGCCCAGGAAGTATGGCTCAAGCAAAATGCAGCTCAGAGCTGTGTTTTCTATGCACGGGAAAAGCATAAGTGTGGACGAGCCCTGTCATAGTAACTTGGAGGAGGAGATTGCATGCTTATGTGCACAGTTGTTTTTCTGTTTTTACAGTGCAAGCAGGGCGAAAAAAGAAACCTGGTCTCGTTTTTCCGAGAATGTGTCTCGAAAACCCATTCCAGTTCAAGCAGCGGGGAGTGATGGCAGCCCCATCAATGCTGGCGTGACCTCCTGAGTTAACATTTAATAGGGGGTGCTGAGGGTTCTTTGGAGTGGAATTGTGTGGCTTTCAGCCATTTCCGCCGCAGGCAGGGAGCCTTTTCAAGCTAAGTAGGGTCAGGCACAATCATGGCTTTTTGGACAGGGGACTTTTAAGGAAAACTCAGGAGTGCTGGAGGGGAAACAAGCGCCACTGACAGGCTATGCTGTGTAGCTGGAGGGCAACGTCAGGCTTCAGATAAGAACAGAATCTAAGGCTGGCACTCCTTCTCTGGCCAGTGGTATGCTGGAGGTCAAACAAAATGTACGGTGCGTGTGATGTATTTAAAACTCCTTTGTCTTCCTTTGAAATGGTGCTTCCCATTCCGGCAGCAGGTGGTGGGAGACAGTGACAGAATTCTGCTACATTACGCAGAAGCGGGAAGAATTGCTCACAGGGCTGATGGGTCTATGTGTTACCAGCTTTCAATTACCCAATTAAAACAAGTGTGGCATCCGGGAGCTTGTTCCTTCAGCCAGCTTTGGATGCCGCACCTCCCATATCCCAGGCCCTTTTCATACTGCGTCATTCACTGCGTGAGTGTTCTCTTTCTATCCATGTTTTGTGTCATGTTCGCTTTTTGTTGGGCGCCGGCAAATGGCTCTCTGGAACTCACGCTAATGGAGAGAGCAAGCTCTCTGTGCGTCTTAGTGCGGGTGCGCTTGAGTAGCTTAGTCCATCGCTAAAAGAAACTCTGTGTAGTTCCAAAAGCGCAAGGCAGCTGAGGTCTCATCTAAGCGGTTTCCGTTTGACAGTAGTTATAAGGCTGGCCATAACTTATAATCAACCTTTTTATACCTACTGCCCACTAATGCATCTACAAAGGTAAAGGGACCCCTGACCATTAGGTCCAGTCGTGACCGCCTCTGGGGTTGCGGCGCTCATCTCACTTTATTGGCCGAGAGAGCTGGTGTGCAGCTTCCGGGTCATGTGGCCAGCATGACTAAGCCGCTTCTGGCGAATCAGAGCAGCGCACGGAAATGCCATTTACCTTCCCGCCGGAGCGGTACCTATTTATCTACTTGCACTTTGATGTGCTTTCGAACTGCTAGGTTGGCAGGAGCAGGGACCGAGCAACTGGAGCTCACCCACCCACCAGTGCACGATGAAAGTAGGATTCAGCTTGTGCCATAGAACCCCCTACTGCCCACCTAGAATCCTGAAACGCCCACTAGTGGGTGGTAGGGACCATGTTGACAACCCCTGGTGTAGCCAGACGCTGCAACAATGACTAACCTCTGGAGAGCACAGGACAAAATAGATGTGGCCAATGTAAGATAATGCCCCTGATGACCCTTTATTGCGTACAATGGGCAAGGGTTACATTTCATAGTAACCTTCCATCAGCTTCAGCCGGTGGCCCAGCTGGTCCCCTAACGTCTGTTGTCTATGCTCTGGTTACCTCTAGGCTGGATTACAACTATGTGTTATACGTGGGGCTGCCTCTGAGGACAGTTCGGAAACTTCCGCTGCTGCAGAATTCAGCGGCCCGGTGGCTCACCGGGGCAAGACAGTCTGAGCGTGTAACACCAATCCTGGCCTGCTCACACTGGCTGCCAGTTGTCTTGTGGCATTCGGAAATATTCACATGGTCTGAAATCTGATTGATGTCCAAGATATAAGACCATAGCTGTGAACATTTTCCTTTTTTAAAGGGAAATTCCCTTATTCTGAATAGGATTCCTTGCAAGAAAAGGGGAAAGTTGACAGCTATGTATAAGACCATGCTGCCTGAGCAAGAGTCAGAATTTCTGGGTACCCCTCTTGTCTTTGACAGGACCATCTTGGCTCACCTGCAAGAAGTGCCCACTGGATCTAGAAGTATTTACTTTATTATTTTATTTATCTAGCAAAATTTATATACCACTTGATTGTAAGAGAACCTAAGTGGTTTACAAAAAGGAGTAGCCAGGGAAATTAGCCTTTCCTTTAACCACTTCCTCCTTCCCAACTCGTGTTTCCCCCAGATCTGCTGAAATACAGAGTTTGTTTCAGTTTGCAATGGATTTTGCACGGCTAAAAGGGGGGAAAAAAGCTTTAATACAGATTGCTCAGTGGGGGCCTGTTTTTATATATATCCAGTGATGGGTAGGCGGTGACTGTTTATGATAGCACGAGGCACAGCATACACACTCCACAGATTGCGGAGCCAGAAATAATTGCAGAGAGCATGCAGTCTGACCTCCTGAATACTGGAGGCCTGCATGCCCTCCCCATTATTGCAACGACAAGACCAATAGCTCGTATATAGCTGGCATTTCGTAAAACAGTTTTTTCCAATAGTATTCATTGGAAAGAATTCTTTAACCTTTGCAAGTCCATACCCCCCTTTAATTCACACTTCGTTTTCTAAGGCTTTAAAAAGAAAATGCCCTTATTTGTTGTTCTTTCCTGCAACCAAAAGCGCAAATCCTACTGCAGCATTATCACGTTCCGCAACAAGGCAGTGCAAAACTACATATTCCTTAGATCCCCTGATTTGGGTTGGATAAACCTTCCTTTAACGCAAATGAACCTTGACCTGTGAAGCTCCCTCTACACTATCAAACAAGAGGCTGGTGCAAAACCGTCAATAGGTGATAGTAAAAGTTTTCCTAGCTTCAGCCCGGAGGGTGTTTTCATCCCACCTGATCCTTTCAATCCGGTGGATACTTGTGTTCTGGTGCCAGCTTCTCATTCAGATAAGTGGCTTTAGGAATGGAAGAAGTAAAACCTGCCATTAAGGTTGAGTAAGCCCAGCCAAGTTTGTTAATCGTCATGTTTGCCCAGATGGAACAAGGGAGGAGGGAGAAAATAATCCCTCCCGATCGTTTGCCGCTTTCTCCTTGCATGGCTCCCCCAGCCAGGGAACTGGGGCGCAGAGGCACCGGAATGTGCCGCAAGAATAATGCCCTCCAACTCATTGCCAAGTTGCACAATCCTCGGTGAAAAATGGCCAGCGTTCGGTGCAGCCATGAATATGCCGCTGTCAGTCTTGATGTGATTGCGCTAATGACCAGAAACGAACCGCAAAACCCAGGCTGCTGAGCTGGTGCAAGTGTATGCGCACTCTCCTCCAGCCTGCCTTCCCCCTGCTCCCCTCAAAAGTCACGTGAAGGGTGTGCAGCAAGAGCTGTGCTGGTGGTGATGGAGCAGGGCAAGAGGGCAGGGAGACAGAAGCCTGCACTTGACCCCCCTGTGCTTTCTGCAGCTGATACAGACCGAGCTGTTGCTGGTACCCTCCCTGCTCTGTCGAGCAAGCTGCTAGAAGTGGCCCTACGGGCAAACACAGCTCAGCGGTGGTGCACTGAGCCGGGGCTGCGTGCTCTGCCTCGGGCGGTAGGATGTGCTGATCTGAGAAGAGTTGTAGGCCAGGGCAGGAAGGGTCAGCGCTTGCTTTCCTCTCGGATTTCCCATTTTTAACGTGGGTGAGGTGGAGGCAGCAGAGGAAGCTGCAGTTAACTTCAGCATGGGGTGCTCCCCGCCTCACTTCCCCCAGCAAAGAATTCCCCACAAGGATAATTTGTCAGAAAAGTTGGGCTAAGACATTCTCTGCTGACTTCCTTTGCCTCTCTGCTTCTGACCTGTGTCTGAAGGTTCGCTCTGTGTCCTGAACTGACCTTTTGATCTCAGTGAGTCTTTCTTCATCATTCATTACTACTTATGAGTAGTCCAAGGAGAATTTTTTTTGCATTTTATTGAAAATGGCAGCAGAGTAGCAACCCTGGAGGTCACAGATTTGGCACACACACACACACACACACACACACACACACACACACACACACATATATATATATATATATATATATATATATATATATATATATATATATCTTAGTGGTTGAAGCCATTGGCTTCACTTGGCTATCCTCTGTTGAACCAAAATACACCTCCTGAATTATATGTCTTTCTTGCAAGAATTTCCAATTACTTCCACCCACCCCTGCATCACATACAATGTACCTCATATATAAATAGATAACTCTCTCTCTTTAACTCTCTCTCTCAAACAATATATATACAACATAATTAGATCTATCTCTTTCTTAGTGTCCTTAGGCAACATTTTGGTTGGATCTGGCTGATGACTTCAGTTTTCAACCCAGAACAAGAGTTTGGCACCGGGACAGCTCAGCCAAGCAGCAGTTGATGTCAGGAGCAAGTGTCAGGAATAAATAACTCAGAGTAGGCGAAGTTAACATTTTATTAGAAGATACAAAGTCTGCTCAGGAGTGCCAGGCTTAATAAGCACAGCAACTCTTCCCTATGAGGCAGAGGTGGAGGCCTTTCCACAGCTGCCTAAATATTCTCTTTCCCCAGGTGCTTCCCAAGCAATCTGAGACTAAGCCATGTGTAGTCCTGCTCCTCCCTCTTCATACCTCTTCTGGAGACCTACAGGAAGGGGAGCGTGTTGCAGCATGAGTGGGAGACACCCTGGTTTCTTCACCAGCCTGCCTCATCTTGGCTCCCGTCCTTTCCAGCCTCTGCCTCTGATTCTGGACTGCTCTCTGCCACAGCCGCTTCCTGCTCACTAAACCCTGTTACCTCTTCAGCTTCCGAGACCTTCTGCTCCCAGTCTGCTCCTTCTTCTCCCTCTAACCACTCATCATCATCCCACCACCAATCCCCTGGCTCTGAGCCTTCTTCCCTTGGGGGTTCTCCAGTTGATGCTTCCCACCATTCCTCTGTGTCTAGCCGTTCCAAGACATCTGAGTATCATGTATAGAGGATGTCATTAGATAAGGCTTACCAGTTTAATTTATATATTCTGCAACCTTTGGGCATCTCAGCTGAAGTTCGGTGGTTAGAGCCTGCTCTGCACTTGATGGTTGCAGAACTAAGGAAATAATTCAAAACTAAGACTACCTCTGGCCTTTTCTGTAAATTGAGACTGTTGCTTCCATTGCTGATAGTCAAATCCAGGCAGAGTAAGCTGAAGAGCAGGATGGAATATACTTGTTTATTTGCAAAACAAAAGGAAAAGGGCTTTGACTTTCTATTATCTGGTGTGTTGATAATCCTCTGTACATCGAAGGAGAGGGATACTACTCCATCTGATATGTCCGTCTTTAGATAAGCAGTTTTAATCCAAACTTTAGCCAATATTGCTTTGGAAAACCAACCAACCAAGGTAACAACCTGGGAACCCCATTCAAAACTTGCAGGTAAAATTCTGAGCTGCCAACATAACTATAGTTTGCATGTCCAAAGCTGAAGAGCATTTGACTCTGCATAATAGAAGGTGGCAACACAAGCAAGCAGAGTGCATTGGATTTAGCTTTTGAAATTCACCAGGCACATTTTGGACCTGGCTATCGTCCACTTGCAACCAAGTGAAGATGCCTGGGCACCAGGATGGTGCCTGACGTCTCCACCATCTGGAGGTGCATGCCTGCGGATCCTCAGATCTTGCCTGTCTTCACACACTAACAACACATCCTGTAGAATCCTTACTTCTCATATTTTATCTGCACAATCAGAAGGAATTTCAGGAAACCAAAAGCTGTTTCTAACTGTGTTTGGATCGTCCGTGGAGATTTCTCATTTCAGTTGTGGATTATGTAAGCAAAGTGTGACACTGAAGGAAGCTGGTGGCCCTGTCTCGTTGCTGTAGACCTCATTTGGATGGAAAAGAGCCTAGTACAGTCCATCATATCGGGACTCCTGATAGCAGAAGGGAAGTGAGGTGGGGAAGAGTTTGTCAGCTGGAGTCTGCCTTTCCAGGCAGAATGACTGATGACATCAGCGCACCTGCTTAGCTCCTGCTGACAGCCTGTCTGCAAAGGCCTCTAAGCAGGGAGGCGGTTTATTACTTAGCAGGTTTCTGTGAGCTGGTAATTAAGCTGTACCCCCATGGAGCCTGCTCGCTGCCCTTTTATAGCCTTGTCTTCCATCACTGGGCGGGCATAGGGCTTTCGTCAGCTGACTTGGTTGGCTAATTGGTCTCATCCTGTGGCTGCTGTTAGCCGGATAATTGTCAGCACGCACATGCACACACACACACACACACAGCTTCTGGGTATTCAGCCCAGCCTGAACCGTGCCTTTCATTGGCCTCAGCCTACCTTGGTGTTTGAAAGGCACAGCGTCTTTCAGGACTGCCTGCGATGGCATCAGCCGAGAAAAGGCTTAGCCAGGAACTCGTGTTGATCTGCTACTGGCATGGGGATAGCAGAGCGTTCTGTGCTGCTTGGCCCCGTACTCTTTGGCAGAGATGGGTGTAATATTCTTGATTCTTTTAGCACTCTAGTTTTAAAGCAAATGAGAAAATCTTTTATGACGCAGCTTTACTGAGGCTCTCAAGGGCAGTCCAAGGACACAATTCATCCTGCTTTGTCAGGAAGACTGCATTGCCTCACAGATGCTTGGGAAATGTTTCCTGATGTGCCCCCTTTAGCTCCTGCAGCTGCCAAAGGAATGCGGTTGGGGGAATATTCCCCCTCCTACAAGTTAAGCCAAGGCCTACTGGATTTTGCCCATTCCACCCCAGTGCCCTGTTGTGCTTGTGTCAGTGGAATGAAATTTTGTGATTTGTTTGGGGGGGGGCATGTGAAATGGGATACCGAGGCAACTCGAGACATATTTATCTTCTAACGCTGGCTGAGATGCCTGGGAGAATTGCTTATCTTCTCGGGAAATACTTCTGCGGCTTGATAAGAAACTACAAGCTTTCACTTTGTCTTGATTGTGGATCTGAGAATACAATAAAAATCGGTACTCCGTTGGTATCCCGTCGTCGTGGTCTGTGCTTGTTTGTGATGGAGAAATGACTCACTTGAGATTTAGAGGAGGTCACTTAGTGTGGACAGATGGACATCCAGATCTCAGAGTTGGCCCCTGGTCCCAAGTTCCATAAAAGTATGTGGAGGTGAGCTGTGGTGCGTCTCCCCACTCCCATTTGTCCAGAGATCTCCCCCTGTTCTCACTGCCACTTAACATACATAATATAGGCACTGGCTCATCCATGCATACACTAAAATATGCTATCCCCCAAATGCCAGCGCCCTCTGCCTGGCTTTCCTGCCTACCTCCCCACCCCTGGACCAGTGCAGACACATGAGACTTCTGCACTGCCCAGACAGCCCTTGGGAGGAGGACAGAGACCCTGTGTGGTCACCTCTCTAGTTTAGCTGCAGTCCAAACCACTTCAGCAGGCGCCGTCGGAAACAGAAGAGTGGAATCCCCATAATGCCTTGGACCAGAGAGAGATGCACTTTATGGTCCTTTGGCCCTGCCCTGCTGCGGAATCATAGAATTGTAAAGTTGGAGGGCCTCGGTCCAGTATACCTGAAGGAGCGTCTCCACCCCTGTCGTTCAGCCCAGACCCTGAGATCCAGCACCAAGGGCCTTCTGGCAGTTTCCTTACTGCGAGAAGCGAAGTTACAGGGAACCAAGCAGAGGGCCCACTCTGTAGAACGCCCTCCCATCAGATGTCAAAGAAATAAACAACTATCTGACATTTAGAAGACATCTGAAGGCAGCCCTGTTTAGGGAAGTTTTTAATGTCTGATGTTTTACTGTATTTTTAATATTTTGTTGGAAGCCGCCCAGAGTGGCTGGGGAAACCCAGCCAGATGGGCAGGGAATGAATGAATGAATGAATAAAAATAATTTAGTCCACCGCCCTGCAATGCAGAAATATGCATTTGTCCCATACGGGGATTGAACCTTCAACTTTGGTATGAGCAACACCAACTGAGCTTGCGTGACTGGTTATCCCATCACCTTTTGCTAGGGGGCATGACTGGAGCATTCAGAGCCCCAGTTCTTAAGGAAGGACGGAGCCGCAGCTCACAGTGTTGGGTGGGATGGAAACAGACAGGCAGGGGATATAAGTGGCATCCAGGAAAACCCAACCTACCCACCCCTGCCATACTATTTCCAGCACAATCCAATAGCTGGCTCCTTTCCACCCTGTCAAATCCTTCTCCTGCCCTGCATTCCTTCCCGGGGTCTCTGTTTTCAGCCTCTGTTGTCTGCAGCATCCTGACACAGCCCACCTGTTCGTCAGGAGGCGAGCGTTCAGCCCCTTCCCTCCACCTGTTTCCCCCAGGAATACTTTTGCCTGCAGTTCTGTTGCCTGGGAACACAGTAACCCGATGCTGAGAAGTGGGGTTTGCCTGTCAGGGAGGGGCCCATCTATGGTCACTGGTATGTTGCCGCCCTCCACAACTCTGCCTTTTGTCTCCCATGAGCAAGTAAAATTAGCCACAGGAGGCAGATAGGCTGCTTTCTTCTGACTTTGGGCACAATCCACGAGCTGCGTTATTGGGGCTCCTTTTCTTTTGTTCCAATATGGGGAAGGGGTGTGTGAGTTTAGGAGGAAGAGGGAGGGACTGAAATTGCACAGTAAATGTTCCTTGATAGACTGGGTCTTCTGCTGGCTGGGATTTCTGTCAAGTTTATAGTGTGCTTCGAGGGAAGGAAACAAAGAAATATGCATGAACAAAACTTTGTGCATTCCACAGCACAGCATCCCTTCTCTGCCTTTGCAGCACAGTGTTATATACTAAACCAGATGGCTGCCTGTCTTTGTTATATCAGGATCAGAGAGGCCTGGATTCAGATCTTCTCCACTTGTATTTTTAATCTTTGTTAGAAGTCGCCCAGAGTGGGCGGGGTATTATTATTATTATTATTATCCCTGAAGCTTCTTTGGTGACTGTGGGGCAATCACTTTCTTAGCCTAACCTCCCTCGCAGGATAAAATGGGCTCCGTGGGGGCAGCAGAGAGCTCTTTGGAGGAAGAATGGGATGCAATTGTAATGACTGAATGAATGCCAAATAAATCTGTGCAGAGGTCACTTCAGCAAATCTCAGCAAGGCTGGACATGTCTGTGTTCAGCTGCCGAACCCCTTTTGCCCCATCAT